TGCAGAAGCTACAAGCGGCGTCGGCGGGTGCAGGGCAGCGGCTGGCGTCCGCGGGTGCAGGGCCAGAGCGCTGCAAGCTGGTGAAGAAGCTACAGCGACATCCGCGGTGCGAGGGCAGCTGCTGTCAGCGGAATGCAGGACAGCAAGCCGCTTCAGCTGGTTTCAGAAAGCTACAGCGCGTCGGCGGGTGCAGAGGCAGCGGAGTGCGTCGCGGTACAGGGCCAGAGTGGCGCTTCAGCGGTGAAGGAAGCCTTACAGCGACATCCGCGGGTGCGGAGGCAGCTGCGCAAGCGGATGCAGGCAGCAGCGCGCTTCAGGCTGGTGCAGAAGCTACAGCGGCGGTCGGCGGGTGCAGAGGCAGCGGCTGCGTCCGCGGGTGCAGGGCCAGAGAGGGCTTCAGCTGGTGAAGGAAAGCTACAGCGACATCCGCGGGTGCGGAGGCAGCTGCGTCAGCGAGTGCAGGGGCAGCAGCGCCTTCAGCTGGTGCAGAAGCTTACCAGGCGGCGTCGGCGGGGTGCAGAAGGCACGCTGCGTCCGCGGATGGCAGGCCAGAGGCGCTTGAGCTGGTGAAAGAAGCTACAGCGACATCCGTGGGTGCGGAGGCAGCTGCGTCAGCGATGCAGGGCAGCAAACGGCTTCAGCTGGTGCAGAAGCTACAGCGGCGTCGGCGCGTGCAGAGGCAGCGGCTGCGGTCGCGGGGTCAGGGCCAGAGGCGGCTTCCAGCTGTGAAGAAGCTACAGCGACATCCGCGGGTGCGGAGCGGCTGCCAGCGATGCAGGGGGCATGCAACGGCGCTTCAAGCTGCGTTTTCAGAAGCTACAGCGGCGTCGGCGGGAGTGCAGAGGCAGCGGGCTGCGGTCGCGGGTGCAGGGCCAGAGCGGCTTCAGCTGGGTGAGAAGCACAGCGACATGCCGCGGGTGCGGAGGCGTAGCTGCTCAGCGGTGCGGAGGGCAGCAACGGCCTTTCAGCGTGCGGCAGAAGGGGGGGCTACAGCGGCCTGTCGGCGGCGGGAAGCAGGCTTACAGCGACATCAGGCGGATGCAGGTGGGCAGCTGCGTCAGCATGTTCAGATTAGAGCGGCGCCGCGGTGCAAGCGGCAGCTGCTGCGGCAGCGGGAGTAGGGCGTTCAGCTGCCTCAGCAGGTGAAGAAGCTGGCAGGCGGCGTCCGCAGTGCGTGGCAGCGAGTGTCAGGTGGGTTCAGAGCAGCAGCGGTGTCAGTGGGGTTGCAGCGAGCAGCAGCAGCTATGTCAATAAGCGTAGAAGCAGCAGCGTCAGCGGGTGCAGAGCCAGCAGTGGCTTCAGCTGGTGAAGAAGCTACATCGACGTCCGCAGGTGCGGAGGCAGCTGCGTCAAGAGGTGCAGGGCCAGCGGCGGCTTCAGCTGGTAAAGAAGCCACAGCAGCGTTCGCGGGAGCGGCGGCAGCGATGTCCGCTGGTGCAGGAGCAGCAGCGATTTGAGCTGGTGAAGAAGTTAGAACGGTGTCGGTGGGTGAAGCAGCTATAGCCGCTTCCGCTGGTGCGGTGGCAGCAGCGTCAGCGGGTGCAGAGGCAGCAGCGGCTTCAGCTGGTGCAGGGGCAACTGCAGAAGCAGCAGGTGCTGAAGCTAGTGTGTCGCCAGCTTGAGCGGTGGTGATACCAGCGTCCACTGGTGAAGTGGTTACTTTTGCCTCAACTGGAGAAAGGGCGTCGCCGGCGTAAGCAGGTGAAGAAGTGACAGTGGCTGAAGTGGGTGTCAAGACAACAGCTGAGTCAGCCGGCGCTGATACCGCGGTAGTGTCTGCAGGTGCTGAAACTTCATCAGTGCTAGCTGGGGCAGATACAGATGAGTCGCCTGCCGTTGAATAGATGACCCCAGCGGCAGCTGATGACGAAGTGACACCGGTCTCAGCTGGTGAGGATGTGACATCAGCCCCTGCTGGTAATGAGGTGACACTGGCGTCAGCTTGTGGAGAGGCAACCGCAGCGCCAGCTGTTTCAACTGCTGTTGATGTTGCAACACTGTCAATTGGTGATATTGCGCCGGGTTCAGTTGATGTGCTGCCGTCACCTGGTGCGGAACCCGGGCCAGAGGCAGTGTCAACTTGCGGTGATGCTGTTGCGGCGTCAATTGTTGGTATGGTGTTAATTACAACTGTTGACGTTTCTCCCTGTCTTCCGTTAGCAGAATCTGGTACGGTAGTTGTAATATCAACTACGTCGTTTGTGGTTTGTACGCTTTCGACCACCGATGTAGATTCTCCCTGTTCTTGGGCAACGTTAGCAGAAAGTGGGTCGGCTAGATCAATTGGTACCACTGTTTCGGTTTCGACGAGTGCGCCAACTTCTGTTGGGGTAACTGGACCTACTGAGAGTTGAGTGATTTGCTCTGCCGGTTGTTGTCCATCTGTCCCCAATGGAGATGTATATACGTCTAAGGGAACAGCAGTATTATCTGATGGTGCAACAGCTGCATCAGATAATACGTCGGTTACTGACGAGGATGTAGATTCAATTTGTGCAACATCGGGTGCTGCTGTGACAATAGTGACATCTGTGGCTGCCTGTAATGCGTCAGCACTATTTTCTGCTGGCACAACATCAACTGCTTCAACATCGTCATTCACGCCTACTCCTCCAGCAATATTGGATGCTGTTGTTGCGTCAATCTCTGCGGCTGCTTCTGTAATTGCGTCATTTATTGCTATGTTTTCATTAGCACTGACTTCAATAGCCGTGGCAGATGCAACAGGGGCTGCATCAGTTGCGTCGGTGTTTGCGCTAACTTGTTTTGCATTTGTGTCACTTGGTTGAGAAGTTGCAGTTTCCTGTGGTAGAACGATCTCGGTCGCTGTTGTCACGGATACGTTTTCTTGAATAGCTGCACTAGGTGCAGTAGGTTCTTGATCGATCGGCGCATTGGGAAGTAATTCGGCGGCCAGCGTTGTTTGTTGTACAGTAGCAGCTTCTGCTTCTGCGGGCAAAGGTCCATTCCCACTTGACACTGAGGATTCTGCAGGTGCCGCAAGTACAGTGGTGACTTCGATAATGTCTCCTACACTGATGGACTGTGAGTTGCTTGTGACAGGCTCGGGTAGAGGTTCATTTCCACTTGACAAGGGGGATTCAGCAGTAGCTGCAGATACAGAGATGGATTTAATTCCATCAGCTGCAGCATTGGGTTGTTGGTCGTTGGCGACCGTATCTGCCAGAAGTCCAATCCCAGTGGACACAGTCGATTCGGCTGCAGGTACAGTGGTGACTTCAACAGCTTCTGGTACTGCGTCAGGTTGAGGAACGTTAGTGACTGGCTCAAGCAGAAACTCATTTCCACTGGTCACCGAGGATTCAGCAGCTGCTGCAGATACAGTGGTGCCCTCTGCGTCTGCTTCTGCGTTGGGTTGCGGAACGCTTGCGACCGCTGCAGAATCAACTGACACGGGGGCGGCATCAACCACCACGGGAGCAGAATCAACCGCAACGAGAGCGGCATCAACGGCTACGGCATCAACGGCTACGGGAGAAGAATCAACCGCTACGGGAGTGACATCAACTGCCACGGGAGCGGTATCAACTGCAACTGCAACGGGAACGGCATCAACCGCCACGGGAGCGGCATCAACCGGGACGGGAGCAGCATCAACGGTCACGGGAGCCGCATCAACGGCCACAGGACCGGCATCAACCGTCACGGGAGCAGCATTGACTTCTACGGGAGCAGCATCAACCGCTACGGGAGCGACATCAGCTGCCACGGGAGCGGCATCAACCGCCACGGGAGCAGCATCAACCGCTACGGGAGCGACATCAACGGCCACCGCGCTGGCGACCGGAGCCACGTTGGGGTCCGGCGGAAGCGTGGTCAGGAAGCGCGGGTCCTCGCAGATCAGTGGCGAGTTCTGGTCGCACACCAATCCCGGGGCGCACACCTGGAGCGGGCCTTGCGGGAAGGAGATGCCCGTGGTGAAGTTGGTGAGGCACGTGTGGAAGTGCGTGCTGTTGAGGCACGCGTGACCGAATTCGTTGCACGCGTGGGTGCCGGCGGCGACTGCAGGGCGTGCGTGCGTGGCCTGAAACAAGAAGAAGGAAATCTGTTGATGGGGCGCGGGTTTGGGGAGCGCCACGCTTGTCTGCGGCGTTGAGGGAAATTACTGAATGTGATTTTATGAAATTTGGTTCCCATTTTAATTGTTAGATAAAAGGCTATTTGCTTGTTATTCAGTCATCAAATATCCCTCCGCTGCTTAAATATCCTACGCAATATCAAACAAAACGTCTAGGTGGAAATGAAACTTGATTACGCTTTCCTTATGTACCATACTCTATAATTTGAATTATTTTTTTGGGCGTAACATAAATGCCTGTCACGAATATATTTAAAAAAAAGTTATACATGTTTATATGTTTTGATACTATCGATCAAGTTATCTCGATGGCGACGAGGAATTGAAAATAGAAGTGGATTTATTATATTAGTGCAATTTAAATGTGTACTTAATCCGGAAAACATCCGTTATTAAACAGAAATTAATAACTGTTTATGAGTTGAAGTGTACCAGGTTAATATTTCCCTTCATTATTATTGTATAGTATTACATGAGGTAATTAACCAGAAATATGGATTGTTTGTTTGTTTACCTGAATGCAATCCCATGTATTACTGTATCTCGACGCTTCGTCATTTTGCATCATTGCATAACGTTGTACACAATGATACCGTATGTTCCCTTCGCACTTCAGGATGCTTTCCTCGAGAGGCGAAAGAATTTAAACCGAAGGAAAACATGTTGGTCGCGTTGACAAGCTCGGCACGCCGTTATCAGCAAACTTCTCGCGTCACTGGGCGCGCATAAATCTACGAAGAAACTGCCTGCGTCGGAACTTTTTGACAAAGAACGTTCGTTACGACGCTTCTGACAGCGACTTTCCGTAACATTTTTGCGTTAATTATGTAGAAAGACTCCCAATTAAAAAGTTAGAAGGACGGTTTGAGAATCACGACTTCCCGCCAGTCGTAAACGCGTAGTTGCTAATCGGCCGTTTCTTTCGCTTTCAAGAAGCATACCGCTGCCTTTACCGTTTCCTTTGAAGTTTTCACTCGTTGTACGATGCGACTAAATTCTATTTTATCCATTTCAACGAAAAATTAAGAGTGATGTTAAATGGTGTAATATCGATAGCTGAAAGAGGAATATCGGAGAAGTGATAACTGCTTCGCAGATTCTCAAAACTTCATAAAGAAAAGTGAAATATTACCGATGAAACTTCACATGTAAATATTGTTCTTTAGTCCAATGTTCCGGAGTAGAAAAATTTTCAATTTCGGATTTGGTTCAATGATGGAATAAAAATATGGATTACACTTACAGGAAGATATCGACTGTAATACATATCTTTGCGAACATTTTAACATGTTTGGAGGAACAAGTCCTGTACCTTCGAAATTCATTTAATGTTACTGATACAACTGATAATGTTAGAAAAATATAATTATAATGATTGAAAACGTCGTGTAATGTTGAGTACACGTTTTTTGTGAAATAACTCCTATTTTTGTTCGTGATATTAATTAAAGTAGAGAATTGATTTTCTCTTTCTTATTTCACTTTTTAGTAGTAAATTTTAACTTCTTATAATTTCAAATATAAAATATTGTACATGCCTATAGTGGCTAGTCGGAAGGCCATCAAGCTTTTACGAGTGTACAAATTTCACAAGCTTCTATCTCTCTTTTTTTAAGAACAATATAATCACTGGGATTCCATACAACCAAACTGTTAAATAATTAGGATTAAATGTTGGTACAATATTAACCAGGAAATCCCCCATAGCAAACAAAATGCAATTAACCAAAACTGAATTAATCCAGCTAAAGCCATAACTAAATCACAAAAGCAGTATTTCTTTCAACAATGCCATAACCCTATATAAGACAAAAATGAGACCTCTAGTGCTGCATTTTTGCCCCATCTGAACGAATAATGCAAAACCAATAGTTAATATTAGCCACTCACGTCCCATAATTAATTTCCAATGATCATCTCTTTAGAGAATTACACTTACCGTCCATCAATCATCACATCACGCATCTCTCCAACAATTTCTACTTAAATAGATCCTCAAATCAAATAGCCCAGAACAACGTATCCACACTCAACGATTTTCCGACTCGAATCTGAAATACACATCCACTAGATGCTTTCCTACATATATTTTCTGATGTAAACTACGCGTAGGTGCTCAATGAGTATCCTAAACCAATGTTGTAGTTAGATTAGAATTAGCTTTAGATTATGTTAACTATAAGTTATACAAAATACATGTGAAAAAGTAATAGTTACTGAACCACGTATTCCTTATTCCAACAATAAAAATAATTTTTAAATCTCCATTTTTATAAGCCATTACTGGACCACAAGTTCTGCAAATACCGAAATTATCGAACTCGGAGGTTTCTGCTTTCAAGTATTGCTGGTTTTTAACTACATAATAGCTAATGTGCAAGTAAATAAATTTACAATTAGCCTGATATTGATTTCGGCTTTCGCACACTTTCTAAACGTATTAGTTGACGACAAAACGCGGAACTCATTCAATTACTATGATGAAGGAATGTACGACATGAAATCAGTTCATCTCCTGAAATGCCTATACATAAACAGTGAAGTGGTATAGTTAACCCCGCATGAGCCTCCTTGCAGAGAGAGTAATGAAAGATTTAGGCACTATGGGACCTCCAAGCACAAAAACGCACTCTCACCTTTGGAAAAAAAATATTCAGATTAAAAAATAATAAAATATGTAAAAATAATCTCTCAGCACAGCAGACTGAATAATAATTATTTGTAAATAGAAATATATTTTTACCTTTTTACTTCCCCACACTTACTTCGGAAGAAATGACGTAAAATGACAAATTTTCGACAGAAAAACTTTCATTGCCTAGCCCCGGTAATGAAAACATAGATAAATATTTTTCCTACGTAAAATGAATTACTTCCTCTAACACGTATTTTTTTGGGGAGGTGTTTTATACGAAACCTCATTTTCTACATTTTCTGAAATTGCTCCAAAATTGGATATTAACTTTGTCATTAGATAGCGGAAAGAACGCATACAAGAATGCCGCATTTTTCGTTTTCTTTGAAATTTCTAATTTTTCTAAAATTACATGACTTTTTTCGGCATCTGCCTACAACTACAATATTGAAGGTAGAAGTCTTTCTTAATGAAATCGGGTTATTGAAGAAATATCTTGAAATAATATCATTTACAACTTTTCAAAAATAATTTTAGTTTCCGCCTAACTTTGGGGGAAATTGTAGGTAATTTTTAAGCAATTATTTTCTCGAAAACGGCTCCAAGTGTGACGCTAGTCTCATTGGCGGCGAACGTGCTTAATTTTCTAAACCTACAGAAAGATAATATTCTAAAACTACAAATTTCGAGATACAGATTATTGTTTTAAACAAAATATGTGCTAAAACATCAGCTCTTTCAAAAATGGCATGTACAATGTTTTTGGAAAAAAAAGAGTAGATTTCACGCAATCTCTATTTGAAGGTAAACCGCCCCAATTTTATTCTTCATTTTTTTCTTTGGATTGAACAAGGCACGTTTAAAAGAACGACGTAGGTCTCATTTCCTTTTAACACTCTGAATTTTCGGAAATTGCAAATTTAGAAATAAAGCGAGAAAGTATATGATGTAGAACCACCAGTTTTCGATTTTTAATTTTTTTTCACGAACGGATTGACCCCTTACAAGAGGCCCTTAAGCAATTTTTTATTTTGCTTGTACGACTGAGGTTTCGCTGTCTCTGCTGCGATTCTGAGCCGGAGGCCCAAGAGTTTGAGTCCCGAATGACCTTACCAACCAGAGGAGAAGGAATCACCGCTACGCCCCGAGATCTAACACTAACTACGCTAACGGGGCTAATGGCCGTAGCAGTCCGGAAGCATCAATCAATAATTGTGTGTAAATCCAACCCTAATAGTGCGGGGTGACCATGCCGTGTCCGAGGTTGGAATCCAAGGTACCGAGAGTCTGGCCATGATTTTCGCCTCGGATTCCGCCATTTAAATCCAGCTAAACTCTATAGTATTTGTTTTTTGTATGAACTACGGTTGGTGAATGATTATTACACACAAAACCAATGTTAATGTACGGAAAACTCCGCATCGTATAATACCTTCGGTTGGTATCGTTTCTCCTTGACTCGTGCACGCCGCCTGCCGGTTTGCAAAGGCAGCCCGTGCGAAGCGCTTACCGTGGCGGCAAGCAGCAACAGAAGCAGAGCGGCGGCGAGCAGCGCGGCGCGGGTCTTGGTCGGTCGCGCCATGTTGCCGTGGCGCTGGAGGCCTGGGGGTGGGGCCTCGGGGGTGGGCCTGGTGGCGGTGGCTGGGTCGGCGCCGAAGTGCTTGTGGCGGTGTGGGGCGGCGCCGGGCCTCATATACGCGTTCCTTATCAGCCCGCCCACGCCGACGCCGCCTCCGCCGACGCAGCCGCTTCCGAGATCTTCCCCCTTCGACCTGCCGCGCGCTCCCGGATGCGCAGAGCGCTTTGCAACTGTTTTGGTGACGACGTATCTGATTTTTAAGGCTATTTTATTATTATTTTTGCTTGAAGCACTTACCCGTAGTTCCATTGCACACTTACTGATTCTCCCATGTTGTTTTAGATCGTGAAACTGTTCGACTTCGTTGAGAATGGTGTTCTGTGACTTTATTAGGTATTTTATAATTATAATTTTCTCTGAGTGGTTTGCCCAAGCTCTTCTGTATTGTTTTATTTTTTTAAATTATATTAAATATCCTTAATTTATTTTTATATCTTTTTCTTAATCTATCTCTTCGAGAATAACCCATATAGATTTTTATTTTGGCGACGTTTTATTTTGGCCAGTTCGGATGGCCGAGATTGCTATGGCAGTAGTGCCGTAGCGATCTCGGACCTAAGGATCGCGGGTTCGAGTCCCGCCTCGGGCATGGTTGTATTGTGTTCGTCCTTTCCGTCCACACCCCTATCATTATCATATCGTGTTATCCTCATAGGTAACATACTGTTACACGCAATAGTGGTCGCTAATGACCTAGTAGTTGATGCGACCTTAAATTAAAAAAAGTTTCATTTTCCTTTCTATGTCACCTTCCCCACTGTATGAAATATTGCAGTCTAGAAACTTAAAACGGCGTACTCTTTCAAGAAGTTTATTGCATATAAACAGTTCACACCTTACATGAAAGTTCAATTGAAAATTCATGACCTTGTTTTTTTAGGTTATAATGTCTTGTTATTTGTTGTAATTCATACAGAACCTTTGTAAGGTATCTTGTTTATCTGCAACTAATACTTTAATTTCGCTTTTATATATAATTAAACATGTAACTACTTTTTAAATATTGTATTTAATGACATTATGTTCCGGACATGTATTTAATGACCGTATTTAATGACATCCTGTTTATTACAACCTTGCTACCGAATGACGCTTTCCGTACGCAGTGACTCACTGGATATGAGAATTCAAACGCGCAGTACGAAATTCAGTGGAATAGCACAATCAAATATTTACATTCCCTGAGACAATATCGAAACCGTTTCATAATATTTGAATGTGCCCCAAATATCCTGGATATCTAGAAGAAAACGTAGAAAAAGTACTACACACACCGCTCAAAAACAAATAA